TTAACCTCTCCACGCCTTAATGTCTTCACCTGTGATATAAGGATAAAAAAGACAGCATAAGGACATCTTAAAGATTTAGAAATAATGCATCTGATATGCCCAGGATATAATAGGTTCAAAGGAAAATGTAAATATTTTTATAAAAGGCAGCACAGTGTATAAATCAGGGAGTGCACTGTAGTCAGACCCTCTGGGTTGGAATGTTGGCCTTGCCATGACCCAGCTGCATGGCTTTCCCTATCTGTAAATGGGAGACAAAAAATGAGCCTAAAAGCAAGAATTAAATCAATTAATATACTAAACAAAAATGAACATCATTGTTCATAGCAGAATTACTCATAAAAGCTAAAAGGTGGAAACAACCCAAATGTTCATAAAGAGATTAATGAAAATGTGGTGGGTACATACAATGGGAAATTTTTCTGTGATAAAAAGAAATGGAATCCTGACACATGCTACAATATGGATGAACCCTGAATATTATGCTAAGTAAAATATGCTAAGCCAGTCACAAAAGAACAAATATTATATGGTTCCTCTTATATGAGGTAACTTGAATAGGCAAATTCACAGAGACAGAAAGTAAAATAGAGGTTACCAGGGGCTGAAGGGGAGTGGGGAATGGGGAGTTATTGCTTACTGGGTACAGAGTTTCTTTTTGGGGATGATTAAAAAGTTCTGGAAAAATACAGTGATGATGGTTTAAAATCATAGTGATTGTACTTAATGTCACTCACTGTACAACATTCACTGAGTCTGGCGTCTCAGGGGCCTCTAAAACCATCCTGATCCACCAGGCAACATTGGGCAAGCTCTGCTCTTGCCTGTGTTGGTTTGGTTATTAGCCTGCTGGGAGCAGAGCTGGAAAGTTGGTTCCCACCAAGCCCACCTGACACTGGGACGTACCCGTTGGGCTCTGCTGCAGTCAGCTCTATTTTATAGATTCCCTAAGTTGAGCATGAGTGTCTCCACATCCCTGACACCACATTCTGGGCCCTGCTATAGTCATTCATTCACATTCATTCACTGATAACACCTGCTACACAAGGCCCAAAGCCAAGAGATAAATGATGATTTTCAAGGAACTTGTGGTCAGAGGAGCAGACAATCTAAGTAGTTTTTATGTGTGTGTGTTTTTCTGTTGCTGCTGTTGTTGTTGTATTGCTTTGGTGGTAAAATATAACATAAAGCTTACCAGGATAATTATAGATTTTTCTTAAATCACTGCAAGTAGTCTTCCTTTAAATTGAATGTGACTTCTAGATATTTGGGGATGAATACTTTGGGGGAAATTACAAGGGAATATTAAGAGACTCAAACCAAACAGATTCAGATGTATTGTATAGACATTACTAGTCTGAATAAAAGCAGCAGTGGTTCCCAGTAGAGGCACATGCCCGGGTTGTGGGCTCAATCTCCAGTGTGTGGTGTGCAGGAGGCAGCCGATCAATGATTCTCTCATCATTGATGTTTCTCTTTCTCCTCCCTCTCCTTTCCTCTCAATAAAAATTCATTTAAAAAAAAAAAAGAAGAAGCCGAGATAAATTTGGGTCAACATGCTTCCATAAAGAAAGAAGAAAAGTATGGCAAATAGTTACCTTTGCTTTATCTATTTTTCTCTATATTCAGCATTCAAAAGGAAGTTGTAATTTGAGGGGAAAAATGTATTCACTCTTCATCTGTATCATGAAATAAGACAGATGTCAGGGTTCCCAAAAATCAACTGATAGCCCTAAAATCAATTTTAACAAGGCACAGACATACACAATCTTCACTTTGAGAACATCCTACTCCATGACCAGCTTTAATTCCCTCATATTTGGGTCTTGCTGTCACTAATCCAGGAAAAAGATGTACATAGTATTGAAGATAATCTGCTAAACATGTTAACACCCAGAGCAGACAATTCAGTTACTTATTTTTCAAAATCTTCAGTGCAGGCCTGGTCTTTAGGGAGATTGCAAATTAATATGGGATGCAAAACTGAAAGCCAATAATGAAACTAGTGTTCAGGGTTAAACTAGTACTAAGTATAGAAGGCAAACTGAACAGAAAGGAATCTTCTGGAGGACAGGGATTCAGCTTTGAGTCCTGGCATTGTGCCTGGCACCTATTAGGTATGCAATAAATGTCTGTTGGGTAATTAAATGAAAGAAGATTTTCTGGTTTGGGGGTTGAAAGAAGAGGGACATTTTGACAGTTTGACTGGAACATTTTTTCCTAAGGCTGTCTCCTTCAAAGTTATCCCAGGTGTGGAACAGCAGAGATGGGGTCAGTTGGGGGCTACCATTTCCATAGTACTAGAAACAGCCTGGGTTTTCTCCTTCCCTGTCCCATGGCCAACCCTCTACACACTCCTCTTCCCAATGGAAAAAAGGAAGGCAGATTGCATCTCTCAAATAATTTCATACATAGAAACTCACACCAGCAAAGACATCATAACTGGCTATTCCTTTGGTTTATGTATTTTTTTAAATCATCTCTTCAATTATAAATCTAATCACACTGTAATCTGTACCTAAGTGAAATATGGTAGCTGACTTGCTCTGTGATGTGGGTTGAATAATATTCAGAATGGATTGTTATAGGAAGTTTGGAAATTTTTTATTCTATCTATCACTTTCTTTGCCTTATTCCCCAAAGATTTCCTTTCAGTCAGATAAATGTCTTTAATTAAAGTTGGTCAATGTGGTTAGTGGTTGGCTAACTACAAACTGAAACATAAAGCAACCAAAAGACTGCAAGGTTGCTCTCTGCACATCCAACAGCAACAACTTCTACTTTTTCTGTTTCCTTACTGAGCTAGAAACCAGACTCTTCATATATTATTGATATAGACAACATTTAGTTTCAAATTCAATAGAGTAATACATTGAAACCCTTAGTTGTTTTAATATGTAAAAATATATTATGCTCTGAGAACATACAAACTACAGAGTAATAGTGAAAACATTCCCTAAAATCTCTCCTTAAATAACCTTAAATAATGGAATCATACCCTTATTTAACTCCTTATATAAAGTATAATTTTATGAATTCTTTTTCTGTAGCCTTTGAATCCTAATATTCCTATGCAAAATTCAAGTCATTATTATTTATTCATGGTCTCTCATCCATAAGCTAGCCAATGGAGTAAAAAATGTTGTCATTCAGTTATTAATTTAATCTTGATCATCCAGTACTTGATACTTAATCTTCTTGACTTAAATAAGTTCTAGCTGCATTATAATTTATTAATATCATAATTTCTTAAAGCATTGATTACGATACAGTCACTACCAAACCATATATGGTCGCCCTGTCCCTTATAGGTGTAATTAAAAGAAGATTCAGCATGCTGATGATAGGTATCCAATTCAAAATAAACGCATATTTAAAGGTTCTACAAATGCTGTTCTAAATTCTTTATGTTCACTTTGAAATGTTCCTTTCAAAGTAAGAGAAGCTTCATCTATATCTATTATGTGAATTCTGAAAAACGGGAAAAAAATCAAACAATGCTTTTCTTGGCAGGGTCCCTTCATAGTTGAGAAAAAGAAAATGGTCAGGGGAGATAATCATTAAACACAGCAAAAGCTCTTTTGATGGCTTGGATTGGGCAAATCAACATGCTCTACTACCTGTTATTACTTCTGTAATTCCTCCATAGGACTCTATTTATTGGAGGAAAATCTCCTTATTCAAATTGTGTATCTTAAAGGTAAACACACATTCAAAAAGCTAATTCTGTTTTAAAATTATAATTATTCCTAGCATAATTACTTATTTACTATTGAAAAATAATTCTCTCTTAATTGCATTGGTACTTATATAAACAGCAACCTCAAGACACACAACTCAGAAATGTTACAATACACACAGTACCTGTTCCTATAACTCCGATTCTGTGTTCTCAATCAGGAACAACGTGACGTTTTTAACTGGTCTGGAAATAGATGTGCAAAGAAATACAGGAAGGCAAAGCCGAAAGGATCTGTTCCATACCTATTCCACTGTTTCAAAGCAAACAGTTGCTCCTTTCCATCGTTCCCATATGGAGTTAAGCAGGTCAATGGAGTCAAGTTACTTTTCATTTGTTACTCTATCAGCCAATTGGTTATCCCTCTGGAAAACATAACAAAGAGAGAATAAAACATGCATGACCATAAAGGTTGCCATTACAAAGCATCTAGTGATCCCAAAATAATGCTACCTCTAGTTTGTTCATTAGTCAGCTGGTACTTGGTTTAACCAAATGCTACAATGGAACTGCCACCAGGTTTTCACCAGAACTTTAAATTAAGAAAATGTGCTAATCTCCTTGTATGCAAAGTGAATTCTTATAATATTTTTATTGAGATATAATTGACAAAACATTATATTGATTTTGTTATATATTGCAAAATGATCACCACAGTAAGTGTTATTAACATCCATCACCTTACATAGTTACAAAAATTTTTTCTTCTAAAAAATATCCCATATAATAAAAGACTAATATGCAAATTGTCCCCTCAACCGGGAGTTCTATCGCTCACTATGACATGCGCTGACCACCAGGAGGCTCTGGCCAGCATCCGGCAACTGGGGAATGGAGGCCCCAGCCAGCAGCCAGAAGGCCCCGATCAGCCCTGATCACCAGCCAGGCCTAGGGACCCTACCCGTGCATGAATTTCATGCACTGGGCCTCTAGTTCAATATATAAAAGAGATTGTATGGTATTTGTTTTTCTCTGTCTGATGTTATATATTGCAAAATGATCACCACAGTAAGTGTTATTAACATCCATCACCTTACATAGTTACAAAAATTTTTTCTTGTGATGAGAACTTTTAAGATCTACTCTCTTAGCAACTTTCAAATGTGCGATACGGTATTAACTATGGGCACCGTGCTGTATATTACATCCCGTGACTTACTTTACAACTCGAAGTTTGTACCTTTTGACCCCTTTCATCCATTTTGCCCAACCCCCAACCCCATCTCTGGCAATTGCCAATCTGTTCTCTATATCTATGAGTTCTGTTTTGGTTAGGAAATCAATAAAATATATTTTTTAAAAAAAGCTTTCCTTTTTTATTTTAATAGCCAAATGAGACCCCAGTGTGAGTGAGTGTGTGTGTGTGTGTGTGTGTGTGTGTCACATTCTCTTTATCTGATCATCCATTGATGGACGCAGGTTATTCCCATTTCTTGGCTATTGTAAATAATGCTGAAATGAACATAGGGGTGCATATATCTTTGAAAATTAGTGTTTTCTTTTTGTTTGTTTGTCGTGGTTGTTTCAGATAAATACCCAGAAGTGGAATGTTGGACCATATGATAGTTCTATTCTTAATATTTTGAGGAACCTTCATACTGTTTTCCAGAGTGGCTGGACCCACTTGCAATCCCACCAACAGTGCACAGAGGGTTATGTTTTCTCTACATCCTTACCAGCCTTGTTATTCCTTACCTTTTTGATAATAGCCATTTTAACAGGTGTGAGGTAATATCTCATTATGGATTTGATTTGCATTTACCTGATGATTAGTAATGTTGAGCACCTTTTAATGTACCTGTTAGACATCTGTATGTCTTCTTTGAAGAAATATCTACTCAGATTCTCTGCCCATTTTTAAATCGGATTGTTTGGGGTTTTCTGCTATTGAATTGTATGAGGTCTTTGTATTTTGGGGATATTAATCTTTAATTAGATATGTGATTTGCAAATATTTTCTTCTTTTGGTATGTTGCCTTTTCATTTTGTTGATGGTTTCATTTGATGTGCAGGATTTTTTTTAATTTGATGTAGTCCTACATGTTAATTTTTGCTTTACTTGCCTTTGTTTTTAGTGTCAAATCCAAAATATCATTGCCAAGACCAATGTCAAGGAGCTTACTGCCTGTATTTTCGTCTATGAGTTTTATGGTTTCAGGTTTTACGTTCAAGTTTTTAATCCATTTTGAGTTGATTATTGTGTCTGGTGTAAGACAGGAATCCAGTTCCATTCTTTCACATGTGTTTGTCAGTTTTCCAAACATCATTTATTGAAGAGACAGTTCTTTCTCCACTGTATATTCCTGGTTCCCTTGTCATAAATTAATAGGCCACACAAGTGTGGCTTTATGTCTGGGCTCTCTATTCTCTTTCATCTTTGTGTCTGTTTTCAATGCCAGTACTATATGTTATGATTATTGTAGCTTTGCAATATAGTTTGAAATCAGGGAGCATGATACCTCCAGCTTTGTTACTCTTTCTCAAGATTGCTTTTGCTATTCGGGGTCAAAGTGGGTTCTTCTAAATTTTATTTTCTTTAGGTCTAAGGCTAGAAATAATCATTTGCTTTAAAGTTACTGGAAAGACCATGTAACATTAGTAAGGAGGAAACTGTAATTGCTCAGTATATAATTCAACTATTTTTATATCTGAACATTTTATCCTAACCTTAGTCAAGAAGAACTGAATCCCAGTTACCCACATCTTAGTCAAGGTGACTGAGGTGGTTTTAAAGAATTAAGGGATCTCTTGTTAAAACAATACCCAACTCTCAGATGCACAAACGAGAGAATAGTTTCTGTGATTTCAGGTAAGATTCTATGGACAGAAAAAGTCTTAAATCAACTGAGACAGGTGTTACTCCTGAATTTGGCACAGTGGGTCTGTCTGGGCCCTGAAGCTCAGCGGAATTGAAAGGTGCTGCTTAGCTTGACACCTAGCTTGAGGCTATTTTGTGTGAACATTTTAGCACTCTGATCTCTAGATGGCACTGTTTTGTTTTGCTTTAGATACAGCATAAAGGAACAAAAGGCTGTTTCTCATAGATCCTGATTTCCAACCAGAGTTTAGGAAGCAGCC